GCCAGACATTGAACATGGACATGTGGCAGCCCAGTTCTATGTGGGACTATCCTCTCTTGTTAGCGACGTCTATGGTGTCACTTCGGATGCTCAATTTCTCCAGACATTACAGGACAACGTACGGAAGAGAGGAGCACCATCCAAACTTGTGAGCGATCGGGCGCAAGCACAAGTTTCCAAAGCAGTGAAAGACTACCTCCGTTGGCTATGCATTGATGACTGGCAAAGCGAACCGCATCGCCAGAACCAGAACCCAGCTGAACGAAGATACCAAGATGTTAAACGATTAGCCAACAGGATTTTGGACCGCACCGGTGCACCTCCTAGTCTATGGCTCCTAGCCCTTCGCTATGCATCCTTTGTCTACAACTATACTGCTGTCAAGGGTCTTGGATGGATGACTCCGATCCAAGCGCTGACCGGTATCACCCCAGATGTTAGTGTACTCCTCCGTTTCCACTTTTATGAAAAGGTATACTATAAAACAGAAGAACCGGCCTTCCCTTCTGACTCTCCGGAGTCCCTTGGTTACATGGTAGGCATTGCCGAGCACGTTGGTCATGCCATGACCTACAAGATCCTGAACCCAGAAATGAATAAAATATTGTTTCGTTCGGAAATCCGCTCTGCTTCAACCGACACTGATGCCAACAAACGTCTTCATACATCTGATGGGGAGGACTTGTCAACCCCTACAATAATCAAATCCAGAAACGACAAATCTAAAGTTCAAACCGTTGTTTATTCCAGTGACGACGAATCAGATTCTGAAGACGTTCTTGTGGAAAACAGTGACCTCATTGGTCGAACATTCCTTCTTAAACCAGATAAAGAAGGCTATGTCAGATGTGCTGAGATTGTTGAGCTTATCGACAAGCATGAGCACAACACGACCAACAAGCCTGAACATATTCGTTTTCGCGTGAGCATTAACAAAGTGAATATGATGATATCATGGCATACAATGAGATCCTAGAGCGTTTGGAAGCCGATATGGAGAACCCGATAGTTTGGAAGTTCAAGCGAATCGTTTCCCATCAAGGACCACTTTGACCTGACCATCCATCCTACATGGGTTCGACCTACAACGTAACCATTGAATGGGAGAATGGGGAGATCACTCCCGAACCACTGAGCATCATTGGAGCCGATGACCCAGTGGCATGTGCTATATACGCTAGAGAGAACAATCTACTGGGTTTACCTGGTTGGAAACGCTTTAGAAGTATAGCAAAGAAGGAGAAGAAACTTCTTTGCCTTATTTACCAAGCCAAGCTCAGATCGTTCCGTACAGCACCAAGATACACGTACGGATTCGAGATCCCGAAGGACTACAAAGATGCCCTTCGACTTGACAAAATCCACGGCAACACCAAATGGCAGGATGCCACTAAAGTCGAGATGGATCAGCTTGCCGAGTACAAGGTCTTCATTGATTTGGGGAGGGGAACCCCAATACCAAAAGGATACCAAAAGATTCGAGTCCACTTAGTCTACGCCTGCAAACATGATGGCAGACATAAAGCAAGACTCGTAGCTGACGGACACCTGACCGATGTACCACTGGATAGTGTCTACTCTGATGTTGTTTCAATTCGAGGCTTGAAGATGATGATTTTCTAGCTGAACTGAATGGACTGGAACTATGGGCTGCCTATATTGGTAATGCCTACCTAGAAGCCTACACTAAGGAGAAGGTAGCAATTGTAGCCGGACCAGAGTTTGGACCACTTCAAGGCCACTCTCTTATTGTGTCAAGAGCTTTGTACGGATTACGTTTGAGTGGAAAACTGTGGCATCAGAGGTTTTCAGCATGTCTAGAGGAAGAAGGATTCTTTCCTTGCAAGGCAGAGCCAGATATTTGGATGAGACCAACTGCTGACGGATCCTCATACGAGTATGTGGGAGTGTATGTTGACGAGCTTGCGATGGCAATGAAAGACCCACAAGCTTTTGTAGACAAACTGATCAAAGTCTACAAGTTCAAGCTGAAGGGCACAGGACCACTTGAGTTCCACCTTGGATGTGACTTCTACAGGGACGAGCATGGGGTACTTTGCATGCACCCAAAGAAGTACATTGACCGCATGGTAGATAGCTACCAACGCATGTTTGGTCAAAAGCCAAAGACCAACGTGTGGTCACCATTGGAGAAGGGAGATCATCCAGAATGCGATACATCCGAGCTACTTGACTCTGAAGGAGTCACTCAGTATCAATCGTTGGTTGGTCAGTTCCAATGGGCAGTCTCTTTAGGAAGACTGGATGTCACTACCGCGGTAATGACTCTGTCTAGTTTCAGATCAGCACCCAGAGTTGGTCATTCGAACCGTGCAAAGCGGGTTTGTGGCTACCTAGTAAAGTTCAAGGAAGCTTGTATCCGTTTCTGCACTGGACTACCCGATTACAGCGATGTCCCAGAACCTGTATTCGATTGGGCCGCCTCTGTATATGATTGTCCAACTGAAGAGATTCCAAGTGATGCACCCCCACCACTTGGGCTTGCAGTCATCCTCACTCACTACGTGGATGCAAATCTCTACCACTGTCTTTTGACAGGCCGGTCGGTTACAGGTATCATTCACATGATGAATGGGACTCCAATCGATTTCTTTTCAAAGAAGCAGTCAACCGTTGAGACTGCTACTTATGGTTCTGAGTTTGTAGCTGCCCGAACCTGTGTTGAACAGATTATGGACCTTCGGCAGACCCTGAGGTACCTTGGTGTGCCAATCAAAGGTCGAAGCTACATGTTCGGTGATAATGAATCTGTTGTGAACAGTTCTTCCCGACCTGAAGCTAAGCTACACAAGCGACATGTTGCATTATCATTCCACCGTGTGAGAGAAGCAGTAGCATCCAACATGTTATCTTTTATCCACATTGACGGTGTTCTCAACCGCTGATATTCTCAGCAAGCATTGGGGCCATCAGCAAATCTGGCCACTATTACGGACTCTAATGTTCTGGTCTGGTGATACTGCTGATCAAGAGGAATAGGTCCTCTCACTTTGCCCCATTTGGGGAGTGACAGCATTCTAATAGGAACGGGACTCGTGACTCGACCTATAGGATTACCAGGTTGAAGTGTAGCCTGTGCCTTGCACGCGTCGCACGTGCGTGAACCGCTACACACCATTGATTTAGCGTAGAGAATGCTGAGTCATCAGCGTTCTGCGATAATTCTAGAGATTTGCGTGGAAAAGTGATGAACGATCGCTTTTCTCACTGCACGTTGTTTTACCTGAATTGATCTCTATCATCTTGTAGAATAGCAGTCGCACTATAGGCTTTAAGTCTATCTATCTACTTTCATTTATTTCTGTCACCCCGAAGTTCTCGAGTTCAAGAATCGGACTAGAGCTCGGCAGGAGAACATCAACCAGAGATTGAAACGTTTTCACACTATTGGAACTCGTTTTTGTTATACTGGGGACAAGCATGAAGTCGTTTATACTGCCTGTCTCGTTTTGGTTCAATAAGATATTGAGAATGGCCGTCCTCTGAATAGCGTCATCTAGTGCAATTGTACTTTGTTTCTCTATTATTTATAGTTTGTATTGTTTTGTCTTTTGGGAAAGTTCCCTAAAAGTACCCGGCAAATTCCCTAAAAGTACCCGGGAAATTCCCTAAAAGTTCCCGGGAAGTTCCCTAAAGTTTCCCTTTTTTCCCGGGTGTCCGTCCAGACAAACGGGTCATACGTCATACTATAACGTTCGTCTTGTCCGCGCGAAAACACGAAATTTCGATGATCGGAGAATCTCGAAATACACGTTTTTGCCACACGGTCCAGCAGGTTCTTTTCTTGTTTTGAAAAGGTAATGGACAAAGATGCTATAATAGCTAAGGGGTCTCCACTGAGACTTGAGGGTTAACCCGAAACTAGGCACTACGCAAAAAAAGATATTGAGTTCTGGTGGCATCAACCTGGTCCGGGGCGAAATTTCTGCACCCTAGGGTACTGATATAGACACGATGGGTTTAACACTCGAAACCAGTAGTTCAGTTTCCGACGATGTCACAGAGGCCCCTGGGTCAAAGACGATGAGCAGATGGAATGCTCTAAGACCAGAGAACGGAGTGGAGAAACAGCATCTCAGGGAGAGAGAAGGCAAGAAGAATGATGAGAGTTCTGTTAGCTACAAGCGAATTGTAGGTCATCAAAGAACCAACAGTACAAGTCATGCAAAAACGAACAGAACCAATTTCGACGAAAGAACATCATTGATCGCTTTGAGAAGACTCCTTCAATCATATGAACAGGGATTACAGGAGGAATCATTTATAGTTTCCGAAGTTACAAAAACCTTAGGAGGCTATGAAAAGTTTTTTCGTGGGTTGCCATCCAGGGCAGCCGATTCAGAATTACTACTCGTCCTGTGCAAACTCCTTCGGATAAATGATTCTGTAGTTCACCGAACACTGGAGCGACTCATTGAGTCGGTGCTGGAGGATGGATGCAGCCTCCGTTCCAAGATAGAGGTTGCAATGTGTATTGACGCACTCAGCAAGAGCTGCTACCAATTTCCCTCGGACTCAAGTGTTCGAAGATCGCTGGCCGTCATTGTGGCTGATTGTGGGCACATTCTTCCGGCCGAGGATTTGGCCCAAAACATCGTGGCACCCCTTCTATTGCCAAATCTTGAATCGATGAACTCTAATCGAATGCTATTCACAAAGACTTGCAAGGCAATTTCTGCTCTGCTTCTCAACCAAAGCCATAAATCAGCCATTATTGCGCCATTGGTAAACGATATTGCGCCGGACGGAACAGAAGAAGTAGTTGCTAATCCAATACGGCAACGGCTATTCTCATCCTTAGAGCGGCATCTCGTTGGACGACATGTAGGAGCTCACTGGAGAGTAGAAGCGTCCTGTCACTTGCTTACTGACATTATTGATTCCACGATCAAGGTTGACAGGAGTTTGAGCCCCGACGCTAGAATCAGCCTTCGTCTATCGCAGACGCAAGACTTTTTCCTTGAGTCTCTGCATGAGGCTAATCATCCCGTCTACATCACAGCAACGTGTCTTCTGCGATCGTTGCTTCGATATGATCTACAATTAGGCAATGGTTCTATTTCCCAACCGATGCTAGACCTGCTGTCACGGATACTTTTCGATCCGGAACATTCTCAGGCTCGCAGAATCAACCAGTGCTCTTCGGCCAAAGATCGCGGATATGTATTTGGGAAGTACTTGGCACTTGTCCATTCATTGTGGTTGGACAAGTCTATCGACACGGAAGCAGGTAAAGCAACCCTAGAATGCCTTGCAGAAATTGTATCGGCATTGCCCTGGGACCGCTGGATATCTGGTGATAAGCTTGCGGGAAGTGGGCCCGAGTCAGGGCTTTGTCGAAGATCCACAAACTTTCTCCTAGGCTTGACAAATGTTGCAAGTGTTGTTGTTTCCAGTTGTGATGAAAAGTCCGTCGCCACAACAGCTTGCCTTGTAGAGAGCTACTTATACGCCACCAAGGCAGGGCATTATGAGCTCTCGCAATTTTCGATGAAACTGTGGTCGACGGTTGCAGAAGCATCGCTTTCTCACCCTTCTGTACTGGTCAGACAAGAGCTCGTATCTACATTGGTTAAGAGCTGTGGGGGTCAAATCAGACCGGACGGGAAAACAACAACAATGTATGAGCCAGCCCAGAGGTGGCTCATGAGCAACTCTTCGGAACGCTTTCTGGATGGTCTCTTTATTATAGTTGGGCGTGCTTCCTCTCCTTCTCACCCCGCAATTAAACTCTTATCTTCAATCCTTCAGGGCTGCCCACGAATTGGGTCTTCAGATTGCTGGAAGCGGTGCAAGATTTTGTTTTCATCTGTTGATGAGATTGATGCAAGTATCAGTTGGTTGGTCATTCTTGATGCGGTAATCTCTGGACGAAGAGTGTTTGATGACTGCAGCTCTTCGATCGAGCCAATCAAGGAAGTAGTGTTCAAGGCACTCTCACTATCTTTGAACAACTCCTTTGTTAAAATTCAATGCTTGGGTTTGTCACTGTTTGGGTCATTGTCAACGAATGACTGGAAACAAATGAACTTTGGATATCGGAACATAAGTCTTCTATTGAGCTCAGCTCTGAATCTATGCAAAGACGGAAACCATAATGTACGAAGTTCGGGATGCAAAGCCATTGGTCAATTTTGCACATGCTACATACCTGGTGCCAGTATTACCTTTTTTTTGACTGACAATCATCTCCGGAGTGTAGTCGATTTGATTCGCAGTAGGATGAGTCTTGCTCTTCTTGATGAGAAAGCTCAAGTGCGATCGATGGTTAGTCCTGCAACGGGTTTCCTTTGAAACTGAGTATTTCATCCTTCTTACTTTTCATTCTATCTAGGCAATGTTTACCATGGGAAACCTCGCACATGCTCTACGTGCTAACGGGGGAGGCAAGCTCCACGCAAGTGTTTTGGTTGACACGTGCACGACTGTGCAAGCAGCAATGGAGGATTCAAGTGATAAGGTATGTATTTCTTTCTTTGTCTACGTAGTGACGATAGTGGGATTTCTCAAGTTTTGAATCATAATGAAGGTGGTGGTAAACTCTATACGTGCTGCGGGACATTGGGGTTATCTTTTTGCACGTCGGAGAATCGAGGGTGGACCACAAAAGCTTGCACATTTAATCAGCGCTCTAGTAGATGCACTAGTCGCTTCTGTTGAAACTCTTTCGAACGAAACTGATTCGTTGACTTGGAAGAAACGGGGGGCGATGAAAAAGTACGGTTGCGGAGTCTGTCACTCTTTAGGTTGCATATTTGAAGGATCGGTTGACCTAGAAAACGAAAGTTTGCAGATTGCATGCACGAGGGCAACTAAACAAATGATCACCTGTGTAGAACACTTTTGGTCGCTCAGCCTGAAGCTTACTTTCTCAGCAATGATTGCGCTCGGAAAGCTAAGCAGCAATGATTTATCTCGAATATGCGAAGGGTCTGGATTTCTTGGAGCTGCAATCGCCACCTGCACCTACCAACTACACGAGGTAAGGAGTAGTTGCAAATGTTATCAGTAACTTTGGACCAAGTACTGATTTGTCGCTGTAGAATGATTGCAGACCAATACGAATTCTCAGTACAAAGCAACACCATGAAATGGAGGTGTGCCTGCTTCATCTTTTGGCCGCTGCATCTCCACTTGACGCGTCTGCAACTCTGGAGAAGGATTATTTCTCTCAGGCCACACTGTCGTTTTTGTATTCCTGGATGGTGAATTGTAACGTAAATAGTTCAACATTCGCGATCTTTGCGGTCGGGCTGAGAAGATTTCAATTTAAGTTTGTCGACGTCTCTTTGGAGCAGTCATTCATGAGTCGGTCGCTTGACGATGGCACGAGGAGTGAGGCAGCGTCAATGCATCCTGATTTTGACGATGGTAGTGAACTATAGAACAACTAAGAGATATATTTATATTGTCTCAGTTCTGCGTGCACACAGCCAATTATGTATTTACGATTTCACGAAACACTCAGTTTATCTCTTGCATGACCCAAGGAGGACATCCGACAGCAGGAAGATTTTCTTGTGGTGCTGCACAACTGGCAGTTTTTTCGTCCCATGTGTTCATAACGCAATACCATTCACCATTATTGCACCTTTCAATTACATTTGACCTGGCATCCATGATTCGTAGAATCGCTCGCCACTTTCCGCAAGATGGATTACAGCAACGGATCCACTCATAGGGGTCCTTCGAACTTGAGGCAGCAGCACGCTTTTTTCCTCTCGTGAGGGTTGGCTGCCTAGACTCATACGCCTCGTTGCATTGCAATCGTCTGACCCATACTCTAAGATGTTTCCGACTGCGGGAATCAGCAGCGCTTTCAGGAGTGTGAGATGCATCATATTCCTCCTCTGGTGCAGAACATTTGGCACGTTCAGGATCATTCTTGTTCATCGAACAGTACCATTTTGGTGGTAGCTTTCTCTCATCGACTACACCCCTAAGACGGCGCCACTTTCATGAAAAAACACACAATTAGCAACAAAGCGTGAGATAAAGAAGCGTGCGAAATTGCTCTCACCTTTCCGCATTTGTCGCACTCTACCCAGGTGGAATTGCTGCTGCCCGTAGTCTGTCCAAAGATGGAGCTTTCGTCCCTCTCAAATACCTTTTCAACTGAACCGACATTGCTCTCTTCATTACTCGTGTCTTGGTCAACGTCACCTGTCACGGAGGGCAAGGCGCCAATGAAATCGTCGTCCTTCGATCTTTTTCCTTTCTTCTTTTTCTTGCGTCCAGCACGCCTTCCGTCAGGATCATCAGTGCCCGATCCAGTCGAAGCACTACCACCATTAACACGTTCCAACCAGAGATGCTTCCGTGCGGCCTGCATGAGATGATTTCTATCCAATCGGATGGATTGACCTTTGTAAGTGTGCTGGTGGTCATCATCGTCGGAATCTGTATCAACGATAGAACCATTTGCGGAATACTGATCTTCTTCTAATGCACGTCGCATTTGCTCGTTCACGGCAAGTTGAGCTGGACTTAAACCAGCGTCGCGATCAGAAACAATGCCTTTCCTAGACTGTTTCCGACTCTTCTTAGGACGACCTTCTTCTCCTTTTTCCTGTTGCATCAATCGATGAATTGCGACACAATGAAATCAGCAACGGAAGAAAAGATCCTTATTTCAACACAGTTCCTTGATTTTGCTCACCTTTCGACGTGATTTGGCCTTTTTTGGCTTCCGAAGATGGCTCTGATCTCCGTCGATAACTTCTTCCCCTAATGGTGTTGTCTTTCGTTTCTTCCTTGTCTTCTTTGTCCTCCCTTGCTCGTTCGGTGCAGCATCTTCTTCGGGAACTGGTGAAGAATGGGGGGACGATCCTGTTCCAAACGATCCCGTGTTGGAGACTGGGGATGCACTTCGTTCCATGTTTAAAATTTCAATGACATGAAACTTCCTACGGTACAGAAGGTACCTTGTACCTTTCTGCAGCACGCAGCATGCAGCGGGGTCATTTTTAGCGTATGACATACAAACGCGAATCCATTGCTGTTGACAACTTCGAATGCATTCCTGCTCAAAGGTGCATTTGTTTTAAGGCCAGGCAGACATACCTGAGACTGGTTGGCTCGCTGACTGAAGCCGACATTTGTACGTGCGCGTTATGCGTACGTTGAGCGATAGTTTGCTTGGATGTTTTCACATCAACACAATTAATTTTAAGGCATCAAGGTTTTACGATTATTCTTGTTGTCAATGCACACCCTTTAAACAGTTTATCAGCTCCCATCACTCTACGATTCTGTTATGATGCTACTACAGCCACGACTAATGCTCTGTATAACGCATTTTCCTTTGAAGTCAATGCCTGAAACGACAAGACGCTTTGATTTGCTGAAATGAGCCAAAATGAGCCGAAGACGATTGAATTTTCCAAGAAGTCGACCAAGACAAAAGGCTGAAGAAAATCTACTGAAGTCAGTGTTTTTATTCTCGATAAGAGCAAGGCTTGACTGGTCACGGCAGAACCCACTGTTGTATCAGTAATGTATTGAAAATTACAAGCGATGCATTGGATTCTTGAGCCACCAGACCAACCCTGGCTGGAAGATGATGGACGACAATTTCTATGAATACGTCCCCACCACTCTTTGCCACACCTGCGGCTGACCTCAAATTGATGACACTACTGCTGAGCATCCGGTTGATTCTAGGACTGAACTTGACTTCCACGCCAATGTAAATGTGCTTGGATCCAGTGGTTCTGTTCTGAGTGATACATACATCGGTCCGACCTACAATCCCCGAATATGCTGCATAGGAACATCCCAAATTTTGATGCTGCCCTACTACTACATGACGAGGATGACCTGTTTGTCTGATCCCTTTTCTGATCATCATCCAATCAAGAAGTTTTGATGAACACCTGTGCATTCAAATGAAGCTGCATGGCATATACTAATTGTCACTTTTTAACGATGCTGATCTCATCATATTGACTTGGTGACCCCAGATGAGTCGATCTGACAAGTCTTCCGGACTATGCTCGACTTAAAGATCATTTTTCCAATTCTGACGGCGGAGATGTCGATGCTCGGTACCAACCCGAGCTTCTGCTATCAGAGATTGAAGATGATCCTGCAATGACTATGTGTGCAATATTATATTTGAGAACTGATGAATGGACATTGAGAAATGAGTTTGTTCTAGAGGAGGCTGACGATGAAGAAGACCAAAATACCAATCCTTCAATGTCAACCTTGCCTCGATCTCAAGTATTCTGTGTGAGCGCACGTTGAGTAATTGTCTTACTACTTGCCAAGAAGGTTCATCACAGATGGCGTCATTGGATACAGTACACACCGATAATGCTAATGATGATATCTTTCTACCT